TAATGTATTTACAAAAAAAGTGGAGTGAATAATGACAAATATATACAATTAAAACCGGATTTGTGAATATGATTCTTTATTTATTCTCTTTATTTATTTATTTTATTTATTTATGTTTGTACACAAAAACAAAAAATAGTGATGTACATTCTGTACATATTAGGAAGATAATTATGTCAGTTAAAACACAAGTTGGTTATATCAGTTACGTTAATCCAAAAAGTCAGTAATACCTTCATGACGCAATGTGTAACGCTTTTACAACAAAGTTTGAGAAAATCGTAATTAAGCAAATATTTTTTAGTAAGGGATAATAACCCCTTGAAATTAGGTGATGGCCCTTGCTGTATGTAAACGTTTATTGTTCTTCCCAAGACAGAGGTTTATTCCGAAACAGTGGTAAAGCGTAAATTACTTTCAATAAGTATTCTTGTAATCTATATTGAATAAAAATGTTCCAATTCTAGTCAATTCTATTGTATTATATTTCTGAATATTGTGGTTTGATATCAGCTAGTATCAAACTATTACCATCTTTATTAAAATTATTACTGTTTCTAAAATCAACATAATAGACCTTTGTTATGAAACTAGCAGCAATAAGGGATTTCAATTAAGACCATCGCATTTATTAGCAGCTAAGGATCATATTACTAGCCAAATTGGATCATTTATTGCGGCAGTGTAAATCAGATTATTAAAAGGGACTATATTTTCAAAATTGTTATTAAGAAGGCCCCTAAAATGTGAGTGTATCACAAAGTTATTTTTTATATATCAGGTAACAAATATTCACATAATTTTATCATATACAATCACACAGACACGCAAAAATTATTCTTTAGACATACAGATACTTGTTACTTGAGGAATTTGAACCCTTAACATTCATTCATTCAGAGCATCGCCGTTTTCATCATCAAACTAAGTTCTGTTACGGGTATGATCACATGCTTAATTTTGTCCTTTTTAGGCACGCCTTTGAAGTACAAATCCAAATTTAATATGTTAATACCTGCACAAAATATTTTAGATTCTAAAAATATTACCGCAAGACATTGTAAAATATTACAAAACAGTTGATGTACAGAAAATCGTAAATTTATGGAGGATTTCCATTGCAGTTATATACATCTTGCAATAATTTTTAATATTAGAATCGAATCTGTTGAGTTTCTTGCTTTAATCAATCATTGTTAATTAATATTTTTATTCAAATCTGGTAGTAAATAAGACCTCGTTAACATTAGACCTATTTCTTTACAACCAACTATCAGTCAAAAGTTCGAAAAATCGTTTTGGATTAACAGTTGAAAAAATTACGTATTAATTACTCCGCAAAATTGATTTGGTTTACAAATGTTTGATCGACTACAGATGACAGTATTGAGCAAATTAAATATATTTTTAATACCTGGGAGTATTCACAAGATACCTTTCGCATTTTTGTAATCTTTCCAGATCTAATGATTGTTTTTGAATTTTTTTGAATGAAGTTGATTCATCATGAGATATTAAAAATAAAACATTATGGTGCCAAAAAAGCGATTAGATTTATACTTTCATATATAGGTAACAGAACCCAAAAATTTATTATTAATGGTAAAAGTTCCTCTAGGGCGGTAGTATCAATGGGCGTTCCTTAGGATTTGATTTTTGTTCCATTTCTAATCTTAATGAAAAAAATGACTTACCTCATCTTGTAGGGGACAATCTCAATAAATTTTCAAACACAAACGGTGAGCAATTATTTATGTTCTATCTAAATACATAGTTTAACGCCATCAGTTTGCTTTAATATATCAATAAGACAAAATATACAAAACCTTATGTTAAATAGTCGAATAGCAATGTGTTCCTAAATGGGAAGGGGTTAGGCTTGTGGATACCACCGTTTTTCTTGGAATTACTATTAACACGAATCTTCAATGGACCCTTATATATCTTAATAAGTAAGTAGACTTAGTTCAGCAGTATATTATGCTATAGGAAAGAATAAATGTTCCCCACGTTGAAACAGCAAAATTGGTTTATTTAATAACTTTCACAGCGTAACATCCTATAGAATTTTGTTGTGATATAACGCGTATGACTTTGAAAGCATATTTGTGGTCCCTGAGAGAAAGATTTAAACAAATATACCGCTCATTTCATGCAAGATTGTCATTTCTCAACTCTTGTGACTTTTTACGAATTTGTAAAAAAACGTTTTTTAACAGTATATTTTTGATACAATAAGGACAAAAACATATTTTCACTTTAGGGCGCTAGGTGGCTAGAAGTGACATAATTGCTCGTTATTTTTAGGCGTCATATCAATAATGTCCTATCTCAGTTATTCAACAAAACACGTGTGCCGTTCTGAGCAAAGACGTCATTTTTGGAATTAATATGTTCTTGCAACGAATGATAAGAACAATGTTTAAATAAATATTTTAACAACACTGAGTTATTTTGCGGTATATCGTTATTGCAAATTAAAATATGTAATATTTGGTAATAATATTCAGTAATGTGACGTTATTGTTGGAAAAAATACGCACGGTTTCGTATTATTTTCGATTATGACTTTATTAAAAGATAATTTCTTCATTTCAACACTGGACATTACACGCAATATTTCGTATTTTGTCGTTCTTACTGAAAAATGTGTACAACTAAGAGTATTAATTTGGAATATGTTATTATTGCAATTAAGACCGGGTGGGTTCTTAAAGTTTTTTTTTAAATTAATATTTATTACACCATTTTAGGGCGATTACGAGGGCGACTATTAGTTGATTTTGTTAATAATTGTGACGATAATCGTACATAGATGGAAGAAGTTTGAGTCACCATTCAACCATTGGATACTAATGTGTATCCTACAAAATGTAAAATAAATTCAGCATATCGACTTCGGTATCTTCGTCGTCTTCGTTTAATTCAGCAAGTTCATCTAGAGAGGGTAAAATATCCAATGTTAAATCAATGTGGCTTTATAACATTTACACTAAAATATCTTAAAATTCATTAATCACTGCATACCAAAATTCCACTTCTGAACATAGGCCTTCCTATAATAAAATATATATAATATTATATAATAAAAAGATTGAGATTACACAAAAAATACAAAAAGGTGTTATCGTAAAGAAAAAGAATCTAATTCTATTCATTTAACAACATATGCTATCGATATCTGTTATAGTCGGAAACATTTAAATGAAAGTTATGACAGACATTACGAGAAAGTTCAGACAAAGGAAATTAAAAAAAAATACATAATTCAATGCTTTTGAAGGCAATTTACTTATAAATTGAATGGCATATTAAATGCCATTATAAAAAGTAGCCCCATGTATAGGCTCCATCGAAAAACAGGCTAGAAGAAATGAACTGCCTTTTAAAATCCAAGAGTTATGTAGTCACGAACATTTCTATGATATAAAAAACTATTTTTGCGAGCTTAGAATGAGCGAATCTAATGTAAAGGTTTTCTAAAAAAAATTTGTTATTATGAAGAAGAGGAATATTATCATAGAGCTACGATTAATACGTGATTCATTCGTCATCTAATGGAGTTAGTTAATAAAAAATACTGTTTTAAATTTGAATGGCAATAGTTTGTTACTTCCCTGTGTAAGACTGTAAATTTTATGAAACGAAGAAGACTAATTAGTTTAAAACTTACCTGTTTAAAAGATTTAAGTAAAAATCATATCAATTAAAGGATAAGACTTGAACACTTTTACTCCTAGCAGAGTAATAATCAGCACTAAATTTAGGATTAAAGTTAGTACCTAATTATTTTGTTAATAATATTGTTTTAATATTAAAATATTACGTCTTTCACATTTAAGTAATATGTACTTACGTACTAGAACAGCTATCTCAAACAAAAAATGTGCGCTACTCTGTGTTCGTGCGGTTGGATTTTTTATTATAGAATAAACATAGGTAGAATGACCCGTAGGTAATAGCACATTGCGACACATGCAAGGAAAAAGATCGTAACTGATTTTTAACAACTTTACAGGAGAGCGCGTCAAAGATTCAAAAAATTCTTATATAGTTCTGTTAAGTCCTAGCGCCATCTCACCGTGAAAATGTAACTTAGCAAATCAAAATCTACACTTTCATATCATTAATATGTTATTAATATATGTATTCTATTATTTTTTATGAGTTACAATGACATTACACGACATAAACTTTATAAAATGACATTGTAACTGAGACATACAATTGAATTTTGCGTGTTAATATTTACTTCATTAAGTGAAAAACAATGTAAGTCTGAGATACAATGCCAAACATGTATTTTTATGTGTTTTTGAGTTAATGTAAGAATAAAACATTGTGAAATAATTAGGAAAATCTTTATTAATTTTAACTATAAAAATCTCAAAATGCAAGGAATAAATCATGTTGACACACCAAAACAAAGAGTCTTTCATAGTTAAGAAAATATAATAATAATAAATGTCGTTTTGCTAATTTTGGTTAGTTCTTGCTTATGTTTTAGTATATGCTTTATTTAATTTTCTTTTGAAATCTGTTTAAGGTACCTATCCAATCAACTTTAAGATAAGCATTACAGTGAGGTCCATGAAATTCTGAATATCACAATTAATAACAAACTTTAAAATATTTAAAGAAACAAAAATTACAAAATTAAGCAACAGAAAGTATTACAATTATTACTCTATAAACAATCACAAGTCTTTTCAATCTCTAACCAACTATATAAAATAAGTTTATCAATTAATAAAATAAATTCAGAAATATCTAGAAAGAAACATTTGAAATTTAAGGAAAAATAATTATTACAAAAGAAATGTCATTGATTATGTACATCAAAGACTTTTCTTTTTTTAAATTTTAAATGTTTGTTTCTGTAAGATACTTTAAAATGTTTAGTATGCATACAATATAATTACTATATTGTATGCATACTAAACATTCGATTATATATTACTTACTAAAATATACATAATAGTTTTAAAACACAATACTTCTTAATCAGAATCAGTCATATTATTTGGTAGAATCGTTTTCACATGAGGTAAATTTATAAAATAATCATGATATATTGTTGGAATGGCATTGCTATTACATAAGCTTATTAAATCTTTGTACTTTGCTGTAGATAAAGGCAAAGGTGCATTATAAGCCTTAGAAATCGGTAGCTCTTGTTCACTGTTTTGAGGTTCCTTGGTAGCGCGACGAGTAACTGCCCGAAGAGAAACTGTCTTAATATCCTGAGCTAGATTTATAGCCATTTCATTGTCGCTCAGATAATCATATTGAAATTTAATTATATTAGGTAAGCTACTGATAAAATGAATATGCATAATTTTACTCCAGGAGACTTTCACATGGTTGACGTCGTGTTCCCAATTTTTGTAACATGGCAAAAGTTGTTTAAAATCCAATATATTGTCTTGGTTTACTTCCTTGACTTCATACGGCTCACCACTAGATTTAGCGCATCTTATCAAAGTCACCCATTGCTGAGGTACGTAGATAATTTTATGTTTTTTCCTTCGCTCAATAAGTGCATGCATCGCATCACCCTCTGATTGTGAATGTCCAACTTCAAAGAAGTGATGATTTATATGTATATTAAATATTCTGCTAGCATATGCATACATTGCGAATACTGTCCTGTTTTTATTCTGACCGCCACAGCTATCAGAATAAAAATTAAACTCCTTGTATCCTTCCAGAACCCTAGTTTTTATGAAGTCGAATACAAAACTACTTATTTCGTTAGATCCTTTGCGTCCGATCGTCTCGTCCCACAAGTAGCAATACCCTTTATGTTTACCCATATCATAGATCGTGAAGTTATATGTAGCAAGTTTTCTTTTGTAGTAAAATACGGACACTTCTGAATGAGGAGTATTCAAAATTTTTTGTAAATCATAACAAGCTGTTACGACAGAATCAGAGTGTTTAGCTCGGTGTTTGTCAGTATCTTTTAAAGACGTGACCACATTTTTGTTTGCAATATGTAAAGCGTACTCATACTCTAGCTTAGTTTTGTCAGTCTCAGTTGAATTTTTAAATAAATCACACCTTGGACATTGGTCTTTTTTCGGTTTGTTAAAGTCAATATTAAAATCTGTCTTAAATATCTCCCTATACTGTCTTGAAGTCGCAACGACCTGATCGGAATGTTTTTCATTCATCCATTCCAAATAAAGTTTGTAGAGTATTGGAAAGTTTAGTTGTTCATCCAGATACTGTTTACATGTCCTGTTTCTCACATAGTGTGAGTCTACTAATGGCATTTGTGAAATATGGTCTCTAACAGATTGTTTGACTTGATCTGGAACAGCATTTTTGCGCGTGCCGTGTCTACCTCTTTTATCGTTTATTATAGTACCTGTAGCAGACTTATCAATTTTTTTAAATAAAGTCTGCAACCACATGTCGCTTATAGAGAGGGTGTTTAAAAACATCGTCTTACAGGTTCGTATTTCTTGACCTTCTATAAACAAATTGTATTCAAAAGACCACTTGCGCCTACTGGATGAGGCTGAGGCGGCAATAACTTGCTTTTTTGGGACTCTTCTAACAAATCGGCTAATATAATCCATTTGTTTATTATGATCCCCCAGTTCCCAGAAGTTTTTAAATATTAAACTTCTCTGGTTTTCTGTGATTGCTTCTCGACATTTACGTGAACAATTAGCACCACAGTCTGCTTTCATAATTTTTTTCGCTATTAACTGCCCTTTTCTATTTATAAATTCCTCGCCCAAATTTTTCTTTCGTTTACATATTTCAGCCTTCCAATTTTCTTTATTCAAAAATCTCTTCCTTCCTGGGTTAACTTTCTTCGGATATTTCTTTTTTTCTTTAACATTAATGTGTGATGAAATTCTAGGCTCTTCTGCGTTAGTTTGACTTCCATTCCCTATTACATTACTTTGTTCTTTAGAGGTTCGTATTCCAGGTTCTATTGCATCACTAAGTTCTTGGTTTTGCACTAAAAATACAACAGGACATTATTAAAGCGCTTTTAAAAATAAATATCTTTATTTCATCGTTTTACTGCTGTTATACTCGTAGTATTCAAGTAGGTAAACTTACCAATTTCACGTAAAATATCCTCTATTTGTTCATTATTGTAATTTTCTATGAATTCATTATTTACTGATTCTGTATCGGCATCAGGTGTTAAAACAGATGGAGCTGAAAACATATGACATTAAATTCCAATAACTTGTTTTTTTTGTGACCGAAAAATCAATTTTAAATTTTAAGCTGCCAGTACAACGAATACTGATATCTACACAATATGTCAATATTTAACCTAGATCAGGCTTAATTTGGTTGTACCATACACACGAACTTTGGTAATATTTACGATACTTAATGTAATAAAATATACCTACTGTTTTCTTGAGGTGGTAAATATTCTGAAACTACTGGTGAGTAAATCTCTTCGGATTCATTGGAGACTGTTTGATCATTCTGTATTTTTACCGGAGTGCGTTGTCTCAGGTTATATTTAAAACTTAGTAAATCATTTCCTGTAAATAAAACCATAACATTAATCCACATTAACTGTGGAGAAAGTAATTAACACAAACCTAACATACTTCCAGTCCAGGTTCATACGTAATTTTAATGGACTTCATTATATACGTACCTGTCTCGATAAAATTTGGTGACATCCTCCTTTCCAGTGGTACATTATTCTCAACGTCATTATTTCGATTGTTCACACGTTCGTCTTCTAAAAAAATCGTCTATTGCAGTTTGTACATAAACTAATAATATACCTCAAAATTACTGCATGTAGATATTTATGAGGTCAATCATAATATTCATGTGAATACTATAGTACTTATTCTAAATTGCAAATAAGATGTTATAACAATAAGTGGATGATATGTAAATATTTAAAAATAATGATCATTTACTAACCTGCGTTACTGTCCGTAATTTCACTTTTAGCTAAAGCTAACGCAATTATCTTACTACGGCGACTCATTTTTTTAACTGTTTTCGTATTAAAACAATCCAATATTGTATGCAAGTTCCGGCAAAAAAACACGTCGTTACTTGTACACAACATCAATAACACGTGCGAGGGGCGCCTGAGGAAGCGATCAAGAATCTATGCATCGTAAGTTTAATAATCTATCGTTAAACAAACACAACCCGAAAATTATTGCAGAGAAAATAATTGTAACTTATGTTACAGTCTTTGGACTGATATTTTTATTTTCTGTTTAAAGATTAAAACATCGTAAGCAATTTTACGATGAAAGCTTTTTTATTACGAAAATATAATTGCCAAGAACAAGAGAGTATCTTGTATTGCAATTATTGTTATGTAATAAATTAATGTCAGGCATAAGTAAGTATGCGTAACTAAATATACCTTTTTATTACCTTCAGTGGACACTGACTTACAACATTTTTCTACTAGCCAAAATCGTAACGCGAATGAATTTAGATACAGGGGTGAGCGCAAATGAAAGAGAATTTTTTATTTACTGAGAATATGATCGTAACTCAAAATCGCTAAAAAGTGACTTACGATGTTTTTCCTTGCAGGTGTCGATTTGTATTGTTACTTAGGTAAATTATATCGAGAACAATATTTAAATTTTGTCATTTATTTTGTATATTATATTTGCTTATTTAATATAATATTACATCATATTATATCACAATTACATTTTTATGATATTTTTATCTGAATATTTTACAAGGTATCTATGTCAAATATAAAAAAAAACTAAATGTATGTTTAACAAAAATTATTAATATAACATTTATGTTACAAATATATTCACTTAAATTAGAATAAGAGTTGTTCATAAATGCTGGGCACGCGACAGTTAAAAAATGGACGAACTTTGACGTTGATGTAGAAACCTAAAAATAAAAATATATAATAATAATATAATATAACAATTTTTATCTCATTTTTAAACACATGTTTACATAGACCAACAAATATGATTAGAATTAATATTCGTCCTAAACTTAAGTACCTACAAAAACGTCCCATCTGAACAAATTAATTTCATAATCTATATTCCATGACATGAGATGGCGTCTTAAGAACAATTTGTTTTATTATTAATCTTAATATTTTTTTTTATTTATTAAGTATCTTATTAACCGATGAAAAGTAATTACTTGGTTGATACTGACATTTCATGAATTATTCGTACAATATCTAAGTACACACGACGGCATATTATTATCAAGAGATTTTTTTTAAATCAACACAACACGTGACAACTCTACAAGCGTCTAGCGAGTGACTGATTAAAGTGCGGTGTATGCAGTTGAATGGAACAGAGTAGCTGAATGCAGTGTCGTATCTAGTACGTAGTATATAATAACTCAGTGGTCTTTGATTACCTTTTACTGGATTTACCTACGTGTTAATGCTTGCACCTGATTAAGTTTCGATTTTATATTTGTTAAGATACATATATGTATAGATTCGTATGTTTTGTTGAAATCCCATTCATTAGTACACCTCCAACTTATAAAACAGAACCACAACATTGGCCTAAGGGGGAAAAGGCTATAATAGGTAAAGAAATTCAGAAACTTATTGAATTAGGTGCAGTCTCAAAATGTTCACATAGTTTAAATCAATTTGTTTCTCCAATTTTTTTAGTACCAAAACTTAATGGCTCCTATAGATTTATATTGATCTTTAAAAAATTAAACCAGTATATTAATAAGTAGTGCAAATATTTACTTAAAGGAACCTTTTCACGACTCAGCAATGAAATGTTACCATCATTATATAATTTTAATTACATATAAAATTACTAAATAATTTCTATCGAAATTAAATTATAAATTAGTATATAATTACGATAGTAATAAAACTAGTTTCCAAAAAATATGTTCTATTGGATTATATTATTGATTAGATTTCTTCTGAAATATGGTTCTAATTAAATATAAATCATACATTATTCATAAATTTTTTTCCGTAAGAACGATCATATTATAATGAAAAAATATTGTAACTAAGCAATTTTGTCTGCAATAATGATACAATAACAATGCAGTCATAGTTAACCGCGGTTACCATAGATTAAAATTTTATATATTTTTAGAAATATATTTTAAGACAATTATGAATAAATATATATGTAAGTTATTTCCATTTGGATAACACAAGCATCATACTCGCGATTATTATATTGAATTAATCATATTTAAATCACCTCGCACACAAATATTTTTCGTATCTTTTCATAGTGGTCTGTGCTATGTAGACTCTTAAGCGTTATACTTTACTGGACCTTCATATCATCATCGTACTGCCAGACCTGAGTTTTTTACTAAACAAAACAAAACAAATTTATTTATATTACATTATAAACACTCTTACGAATAATTTTTAACACTTTAAAATTCGTTATGAAACCTAAAGGAAGTGACGTAAAAGGTCTATAAGTCTCGTGGTATTATAATGTTTACGTACTGGACATAATAAAGTTCGTAAACAGTTCGCCGCAAATTCACTTCTATCAACAAAAGAAATGTTCCAAAACAAAATTTCTTCACTATATTATTTATCTGAAGAGGTACTTTGAACACACAATATCTATTACATCCTTTGTAACTTTCAACATTTGATAGTTAATGATTTGTTGTGGAGGCAAATAAATTTGAGACGATCGCTTATTTAATATACATTGTAGGTTAGCATAGGTTCATACCAAATTATAACGATCATAAAAATTGTAATATTCTATTTATATTAAAGTTTTTGATTAAAGTAATTGTTATATTGAATATGGAAAAAAGTTAATAGAGTGACGATGTTGTAAAATATACAGCAATCCGATAGATGATTTGGACCATGTTTTGTGATATTACTCGGTGGAGGCCTAGGTACAGCAGTGGAATATAGGTCTTTAATTACCATGATGATGATAATTATGTGAGTGATTAATATGGGTATAGTATTTCTCATAACAGTTATTATTAATAATAAGCCGCAGTCTATTATAGCGAGAACTTAAGAGCATGCCAACATTTTCTTCAAGTATTCATTGAACTGATTGAGGGACGTGGCTCTGGGAATATTTTGTTGGGTGAGAAGCATTCAAAAACTTTGAACCGCAAATTTACAGAATGATTGCCATTAAAACTGCTGTGTATTGAATATGAGTAAATATTTCAGTAAAGCGTGCGGCGATATTTTAGAAAGGCCTAAGCTTAAAAGTGAACTTAAAAAGACTGTTATTTATGATTAACCTGTGCTAGCGGCGTAAAAGTATTCATTTAAGAAATGGCAAAAAAGTGGTGGTATAAGCATAACTTTACGTCAGACGTAAATTACTCAGACATATATAAGTAAGTAATTTGGGACCGCCATTCAGGGCCACCGATTTAATTTAAAAATTAAATCACTTCAGCCGATTTTAAAAAATCGATGAACTTACATAAACAATAATCGTCGAATATAGAACTGATTTTTAGTTTTGATATTCAATATTAAACGATTACGTAATTTGTTATTTTAACTTCCCAGTGGAAAGTTATTGAAATGGGTTCGATTTTGTAAATCGAAAATTTTGACATATCTCCGCGTTTCAAGGTCTTTAGAGTCGAATATTATGGTTTTGGAGAGAATGTCCGTGTGTAAACATGTACGTATCTTTGTATGTGTGTCGAATTAAATTTTTGCCTCGTGTATCTCGAGAACAAAGAGTGATATTGGCATGGGACTAGTTTCATTTACCGCCATAATTATGTAACTTAGACCTAATTAAATTTTGAGCAAAATCGGTCAAGCCGTTTTTTGTGCCGAATGAAAAATTGTATAAAATATTAAAACATACGATATTTTTTTTATTCTTTCCAAAGGAAAGTTAGTCTTGTAGACCTTTCGGGTCGCTAGGTCGCCGTTTAATATAAGAAGTTCCTCACTAGGATTTTCTGCGGTTCGTGCAGGCAGTTTATATATAGAATAAAACTATACTCGTATTTACGGATTTTATCGCGTTTAATTATAGCAAGTTAACAAATATAAATTGCAGAAGGACACACTTGCAGACATGGAATAGTTAATCTCGGAGTAACTTTTATATATTGTAAAACGTTTGCGTAAAGATAAAAATTGAAAGATATTCCTTAAGATTAGAATATAGCACATGATTAATTTACGTCGATTTATCAATACGTTTGTATATACCTCATAATATACCTCAGTAAATGTGACAATGTTAGTTAATAATACGAACTGAATAAATTTACGAATCCGCAATACTAAATGTTTACCGTAACTAGAGTAGTTCTATTTATTTCCTTCCCACGATGAATATGCTAACAATATGCCAATAATGTAATTTTATACTGTTTTGCCAACTCTCTTCACAACTGGCCAGAAATTGGACTAATTTTAAAAATTTCTCTAAGAAAAATTACTTATTTTAATATTCCACTTCATTATGATTACCCATACATGACGACTTGAAGACGACATATTCAGCGTTCGGGAAATTACGACACATCTTCTCGTCAGGTATACCTCAATCTCTGAAAACTAAAGTGTACAACCAGTGCGTGTTGCCAGTGATGACTTACGGATATGAGACGTGGTCCTTCACTGCTGGCCGTATGAGGACGCTCAAGGTCGCTCAGCGAGCTATGGAGAGGGCTATGCTCGGAGTTTCTCTGCGTGATAGACTCAGAAATGAGGATATCCGCAGTAAAACCAGAGTGACCGATATAGCCCAACGGATTAGTAAGCTGAAGTGGCAATGGGCCGGCCATATAGCTCGAATAACCGATAACCGATGGCGAAGAAAGGTTCTCGATTAGCAGCCTCGTACCGGTAGGCGTAGTGTAGGGCGACCCCCCGCTAGATGGAGTGACGACCTAGTAAGACATGCAGGAAGTCGATGGATGCATGTGGCTCAGGACCGTGCTTTGTGGCGTTGCTTGGGGGAGGCCTACGTTCAGCAGTGGACTTGTGAAGGGCTGTAATGATGATGATGA